CAGTAAATGGTGCTCGGAAAATTGGATAGCCACATGCAGATGGATGAAACTGGATTCCTATCTCTGACCATATACAAAAAATTAACACAACGTGGATTAAAGACTTCAGTGTAAGACTTGAAACCACGAAGATTCTAAAAGAAAACCTAGGGAAAAAGAAACTCTTCTCAACATTGGCGTAAGTAAAGAATTTATGACCAAGACCCCAAAGGCAAATGTAATAAAAACAAAAATAAATGGGACTTAATTAAACTTTGCACAGCTAAATAAATAATCAACAAAGTAAATAGACAATCTACAGAATGGGAGAAAATATTCACAAACTATACAGCCAACAAAAGACTAATATCCAGAATCTACAGAGAACTCAGCAAGAAAAAAAAATCCCATAAAAAGTGGGCAAATGTAAACAGACCCTTTTCAAAAGAAGCCATACAAATGGCCAAAAAACATATGAAAAAAATGCTCCACATCACTAATCATCAGAGGAATGCAAATTAAAACCAAAATGAGATGTCACCTTACAGTCAGAATGGCCATTATTAAAAAGTCAAAAAACAATAGATATTGACATGGATGCTGTGAAAAGGGAACTCTTATACACTGTTGATGCATTAGTAAATTAGTACAGCTTCTATGCAGAACAATATGGACAGTTCTCAAAGAACTAAAAGTAGGTCTACCATTTGATCCCACAATCCCACTACTGGGTATCTACCCAAAGAAAAAGAAGCCATTATATCAAAAAGACAACTGAACTCTTATGTTTATTGCAGCGCTATTCTCAAATGCAAAGGTGTGGAATCCACCTAAGTGCCCATCAATGAATGAGTGGATAAAGAAAATGTCAGATATAGAGATAGAAATAGAGACAGACATAGATATAGACGTAGATGATAGATAGATAGATAGATAGATAGATAGATAGATAGATAGATAGATGATTGATAGATAGATAGATAATGGAATATTGCTCAGTTATAATAAAGAACAAAATAATGTCTTTTGCAGCAACTTGGCTAGAATTGGAGGCCATTATCCTAAGTGAAGTAACTCAGAAACAGAAAAACAAATACTGCATGTTCTCACTTATAAGTGAAAGCCAAGCTATGGGTATGCAGGGGCACGCAGAGTGGCATAATGCACATTGGAGGCTCAAAAGTGGGAAGGGTCAGAAGGGGATAAGAGATTAAATATCACTTGTTGGATACAATGCACACCATTCAGGTGATGGGTACACTAAAAGCCCAGACGTCACCACTATACAATTCATCCATGTAACCAAAACTACTTGTACCCCTTGGGCTACTGAGATAAATAAATAAGGAGGAAAAGACAGCAGAAAATATATGAATAGCCCACATCAATATTACTATTGTATAGTCATCTATATAAAGCATATATTACAATTCTCTTGAGGTCTTCTTTGTATCACTTGAGTTCCTATTGTTGCTATAATAAATTATTCCAAGTTTACTGGCATAAAAAAACACACATATTTATGATTTTCCCATTCTGGAGGTCAGAAATCTGAAATTGGTTTCACTGAGCTAAAATCAAAGTGTCAACAGGGCCAACTCTGTCTTTAAGGAGTAGGGGAGAATCCATTTTCCTGCCTTTTCCAGATTCAAGAGGCATCTGCATTCCTTGGCTCATGGTCCTTTTTTCATCTACAAAACCAACAACAGACACTTCAAATCTCCCTTTCTTGGACTCTGACATTTCTGCCTGGTAATGTCAATTCTGCCTGGTAAAAACTCTAGTAATTGCATTGAGTCTTCTCAGGTAATTCAGGATAATCTCTCCTTCCCAAGATCCTTAACCTAATCACATTTGCAAAGTCCCCCTTGCCAGGGAGGGTAACCTTCACAGCTTCCAGGAAATAGGATGTGGACATCTTGGAGGGGCCATTATCATGTCTACCACAGATATATATTAAAACATCAGAAGTCATTTTAAATTAATTTGCCTTGGACTTAATTCTTACTCATCAGTTTACTTTGGGTCAAATATATATGTTAGATTGACTCATTAACTAGAAAATGAAAATAGTATTTTTAATAGAGTTCTTATACCAGTCTATTATTTTCTGCTGAAAAGCCTTTAAGTTAAAAGTTAAAATTCTTATTATAAAATTCCACATAATGGTAGTTGGGTAGCAATAACAATAAACTGATATTTTCTGCCAGTAGCAGTATTTTGATGAGGCTATTTTTGACTGAAACTCTATTTTGTATTTAAAAAATCACTGTTGGCAGCATTTTATGCTGTTATTTATTTGCTTCACTGGATTTTTACGTTTAATATTAAAGAGGCTTCAAAGCTAGATACAATTGTTTTCTATGTATACATTTTTAATATTCACACTTTTTAACCTAACAACCTAAGGATATATCTGAATTTCTCAAACTATTCAATCTATAGAGTTTTCCTCCATAAAACTGAAGTGATAGCTGAACAAAACTGCCTCAAAGACTAAGTTTTTCAGTGGTTATAAATTACCTTCAAATTGCATTTTTCAAATTTCTTCCTGTAATCTCATATTCCTAGCTCTTTAACTCCCTTTGATTAAATAACGTTCCTTTGCTCTCACTATTTTTTTGTGTGGACTTGTCAAATCATCTTTATCTTGTCTTAGTATAATTTAAGAGACTTTTATGTAGCTCTCTGAGCAACTATCACCACACAAGTCCAACAGGGAGAATAATTTACGAGGTTCAAAATGAAGGGTCGTTATGAATGCTGTCTTTCCTGCAATGAATATGAACACTCTCTTGTTCATGCATGACAGGATTTTAACTAGATCAAGGGAGATAGATGCTTTTACACGACGTATTATGAATGATATCATTGGTTACATAAAATACTTTTTAAATATTTACATTGTTTAGTAAGTTTAGAGAACTGGAAGAAAACATCTTTGGGTGTGGGTTTATCTATAACTTTCACGTAAGTATTCTTTTGTTGAAAACACAATTTCAAAAGCGGTAGTTTTATGTCCTTAGGTTAACATCTAGGATCCAGTCATAAGCTGGAATAATATGCATAGTAAGTATTCTGCACAATGATACTAAATGCAGAGGAAAGCAAAGAGAGTAAATTTTCTCAATTTTGAAGAGAAGTTAATTCTTAAGTGTTTTTACTTTATCAAAGTACTCCTGACTGGTGTTCAGCAATCATTGGTTCTTCTAATGTTTATTTGGCTATTTTTTATTGAACAGACAAATCTAATTACTTCTGATTAATCTCAATAGTTGTGATTTGTATCATGAATACCTCCCTTCCAATCTAACTGAAATCCTAAGTGCTTCCATGTCACCTTATTTTTTATAAGCACATGGTCTAACCAAAATTCTAAATGTTTCCATGTCACCTATTTTTTATAAGCACATGGTGTAAGGCATACCAAATAAGAAAATGTATCAACCTTTAGCAGAGGGAAAACTGTAATAGAAAACTAAATGTTTATTTGAGTATATTTATGTAGATATGTTCATTATTTTTAAAAGCCTGGAAACCTAAGCCTCTCCTCTTGTCTAAAAATCATCTTTCCTCCTTTCATTCCCTTTGCATTTTCACTAAACTTTCCTCAGTGTACTTATCTTGCTTTTTACATATTTATCCTGAGCTCTCTGCCTTACCCACAATGCCTTGACTAGAAGGAAATGAAAGCTAACATTAGCCAAGTGCCAGTGGCTAACGCCTATAATCCCAACACTTTGGGAGGCTGAGGTGGGCGGATCACAAGGTCAGGAGATTGAGACCATCCTGGCCAACATGGTGAAACCTTGTCTGTACTTTAGAAAATACAAAAACCAGCTGGGCATGGTGGCGCGGGCCTGTAGTCCCAGCTAGTTGGGAGGTGGAGGCAGGGGAATCACTTGAACCCGGGAGGCAGAGGTTGCAGTGAGCCAAGATCGTACCGCTGCAGTCTCCAGCCTGGCGACAGAGCAAGA